TGGAGAGGTGGCTTCTAATATAGACTCCTTCTTGTCCTATAAATAGCCACAGACACATCTTGGGTGGTAACACATGGGAGTGTGGAAACCCACCGCAAATTCAACTCCTCCCCTATTGCAAAATCCTGACATCATAATAGAACAGAAGAGGTGACTCATCTTTGAATAAATACTTTGATTAGATCATTTGCTTTGCTTTCAAGACTGAAAAAGGGAAGAGAAAAAGACTTGGTGTGATTGCCCTCCGGGCTGACCTAAGGAGGTAGCATCCTTCACCCCATGAACGCCAACCCCCTCTCAGCTGCGAGAATAACTTATTCTTACTTAAGACCACAATTCCCTAGGTTCCATCCTTTGGAATATTTCATCTTTTGGAACTCAGTGCAACCAACGCAAGTATAAGATCTTGAATAAAAAAATTAATTATGGATATTTGCTCCATAAAAATATTTTTTTCCACTTTATAAAAAAATTAACTAATTTCTTGCAGGTGAGCCCCCTTGATTTGTTAAAAATGAAATCCACCCAGGCCACATGCGGCCTGCTCTGCCCGTGTCTTCTCTGCACAGCACCACACTTCGTCCGGAAGTTCTGACCTTCTCTGGCTGATCTGCGGCATGTTCTCTGCTTCCCCGCAGTTCCCATTGCCGCCTAATGTCTTCCAGTTACGTTACCTGTGAGCCCCCCGCAGACATTTCGGTTTCTAAGCACTGAGTTCTCCCTCCCGTTTTACAGGTGGGGAAACTGAGACCTAGGGAAGAGGATGTGCCCAAGGCTGTACAGCTAGGCACTGGAAAACCTAAAATGCAGGCCTCCAGCCTCCTGGCACAAGGCTCGCTCTCTCTTCTGCTTCCTGCAGCGACACACCACATGACTGTAGTTTTGGCTCAACTGGCAAACGTATGCACAATTTCTGCATTTGCCACAGAAGCAGCAAGCAGTTGCCGGGGTGAATGTTGTAACAACTTCGCTTCTCTAACGGCAAGTTCTTGCACCCTTCCTCCTCCTCCCTCTCGGCCCGCCCACTCCCCAGGCCAGACGACCTGCTGTCGCCAGGTAAAGCTTATGTGGAAGGAGGAACATTTTTCTGCTTCTGCTGGTTGCTACTTCTCCTTTCCCCTCCGATGCCTCCTGACAAAAACCACACAGTAAATGTCCCAGGAGGTGCAAACGGGCATCTGTTCTTCTGGGGAGATCCTACTTGTTCCCCAAGGCCCTGCTCCAGGGGGACCTCCTGTGTGAAGCCGGCTCCACACCCTCTGCCTGCCTCTTAGTGATAACACCCCCCACAGGGCGTGTGCGTGTCCCTCTATGTTGGTCCTAAGCCTTATTTACCTTCTTTTACTTTATTGTTTTTAAATTTTAGGAAAGCTTTCCCTTTTGCGGTTGACGTTCAATGTTATATTAGTTTCAGGTGGACAGTGCAGTGGTTAGATGGTTACGTAGCTAATGAGCTGACTCCTTGATAGCGACCCTACCTTTTCTTTTGTGCCATTACCTCCCCTTCCTCACTCTGAAAATCCCTGTTTACTGAATTGAACTGAGAAGGCTGGGGTTGACAGGAGAGTTCCAAAAAACAGTGGACAAGCTCCACTTTTCTATCAAAATCAGATGAGTTTTAGATTTTGACTCTCTTTTTTGGAGAGGAAAGTAAGTCGTCATGCAACCAGGCCTGGGCAGGCTCTGCTGTTTAAGAAAGCCTGTGTGTAAGGTTTGTCATCGTCTAACCACCATGCTGTACACCTGACACTAATGTAAAATAATACTGAACGTCAACTGTAACTGGAAAATAAAGTTAAGAAAGAAAGCACCGCCTCCTGCTGGGACGAGAGGGGAGGGGCAGGCTGGGGAGGGGGCTGCCGCGCTGGGGCACAGTTGGAAAGCACTGGCGGGGCTCTGTCTGGAAAGCAGTGACGGGAGGTGGGGCGAGGAGGCTCCAGACTGTCCCAGCCACAGTGTGCATCTGAGTGTCTGCACCCCTCTGAAACCCAGCACTGAGTTTAGGACAAGAAAGGAAATCATACCAGTGGGAAGGACGAGGGTTCTGTAACTGAACGGAAGACGGAGCTTTGGCTGCCTGTCGCCACAGAAGTCACACTTGTGAGGCCGATGCTGGTGCAAGACGAACGAGGTTCTGTTCAGGAGCTGCCTGATCCAGGAGAATGGCGACTCCCGCCTCAAAGCCCCTCTCCTCTTCCTGCTGTGGAAAAAGTCCGAATGTCTTCAGCAAGGCCAAGACAAAAGCCAGTGTCTCGAGTTCCTGCTCCATTAAGTATGGTCTTTTGGAGCCCTAAGGTGTCTGCTAAGTGGTCGTAGTCCCCATCCAGGTAGCCTCGCTTGCTCCTGGCTGCTGCCTAGTTCAGACTCCCTCCTGGAGCCTGCGTATGGAGGCCACGTGGCTGTGGACCATGTGACTGCTAGGGCTGCAGGGTCACTCGATCCTGGGAGAGCGCACTTGAACCCACCAGTGAGTGCATCACCAGGTGGGTAAGAGGGAGCGAAAGGCTCCCTCCTGGAGGTCATGGGCCACGTGCCCTTAACAGCGTGGTTGTTTAGGCCACGTGGCCCGTAAAGGGAACAGCTGAGGACACCATGTGAGTGTGGGTCTCGCCGAGCCAGCTTCTTTGTTCCCCTGGGGTTATATTAGCATGGGCGGGACATGGACCAGGTGTCTTCTCAAAATGACCAATCAACCTCCCAAACTGTCATGCACTTCGGGTGGGTCTATCTCCCAATCAATCCCTTCTTTTCTCAGGCTAGACCGACAGCCCTCTGGTCCAGAACCTCTGCTAGCACCATTTAACTTCTATGGCACATGTGCCTGCCTTCCTCTGATCCCACCCCCAATTTGGTACCGGAGGGGCAGAGAAGGGATTTTGTTCTATCCAATTATCTTGCTAGCTTTTTACACATTCAGTGTATGAACCTCCCCCTGTCGTCCACTGACCAATGGGGGAGACTCCCTGGCGCCCAGACTGACTGGCTGGTTTATGGGAACAGTTCCAGGGGCTTCATAAAGATGCCTCCCGAGAGGATGCTGAGGGAGGAGGTAGCCAGTGAACCACATGAACATGCAGACATTTAGAGCAGTGCTGCCCAGTAGAAATAAAACACGAACTACATGTGTAACAAAATGTTCTAGTTGTCACATCAAAAACCACAATAACATCAAATTAACTTGAATTCTCTACCCAAATACATCCAACCTATTAACTCTCAGATATTTAAATATATACCCCCTATACCCAAAATATTATCAGGTCAACCTGTAATTAATAAATAAATTATTTGCGAACTTTTAAACATGTTTTTTCATTTACATTTTCACATTCTTGCGTTTATTTTATAGTGACAGCACATCTCAGTTTGGACACAAAATTTGCATAGAAAATACTCAATCTGTATTCATTCATTTATTTATTTATTTACTTTTTCGGGCTTGCTTTGAACACTCTAATTTTTCCAAAGTAAACGCTTTGGGCCCATCAATCTGTGTTTAGATTTCATAAACTTTCTAGTAGGAAAAAGCAGATTCATATACCCAAGTTGTTTCAAAACATGTATAAAAGCTGCCCCCTAACTGAATCAAGTATTATTTTTTACATATGGTTTAGTGATCCATATCAGTATTAATTATTTCTTCTGGGCTGTATTGAGACACAATTGACATGTGACAGTGTATGAGTTTAGGGGGTACACTGTGTTGATTTGATACACCTATCTATTGCACAATGATTACCACCATAGCTAACATCTTCATCACACCACATAAGTTTCTTTTTTGTGATGCCAACATTTAAGATGTACTTTCTGAGCAACTTTAAGTATACAATACAGCATTATTAACCGCGATCCCCATGCCACGCATGCCTTTCCTAAGAATTCATTCATCTTATACCTGGAAGTTCATACTCCTTGACTGACATCGCCCCATCTCCCTCACCTTGCACATCAGCTCTTAAATCCAATTTTAAAGTAATTAAAATTATTTTCACATAAAAAACTCAGTTCCTCAGTGGCACCAGCAGCAGCATTTCAAATGCTCCACAGCCCCCCCTGCAGCTGGTTACTGGAGGGGACAGTGCAGTCTGAGGGCCACCAGGAGCTGTCCGGGTGCCCACTGCCCGCTCCCCGGGCAGACGGGGGTCTGATCAGGGCTCAGTGGCCACATTTCGAAGTCTCACAGCCTGGCTACAGAGCTTCTCCCGGGCGCCCAGGCACCTCTTAGGCCTGGGCTACCCTGCGTCACCATCTCAGGGTGGGTGAGGGATGTTTTACTTGCAGTTGCTCATAGCTGGAGACCCTGGGAAGCAGCTTGATTGCTTCGTTAGGTAACTCGTGGCCGAATGGGCCCCGAACAGACCAGGTGGGACCATGTCGGTTTTCCCATGAGAAGTAATATGGCTGGTTCTAGAAGAGCCTGTCCCTTTTTAAAATTCGTACTGAGATGGACGTTGAAAATTTTTCTAGAGTCTTCAAGTCACTCCTTCCTTAAATTAGAAAAAATAAAAAAAAACAATTGGCTGGAAGGAATGGCTCTCAGTAAATCCTTGTTTGCAAAAAAATTATTATTACTTCAAATTATACCAGAATATCCAGTAATGGAGCTCTTAAAACTGAAAAAAAAAAGCAGATTTTTGTGGTTAAAGTTGTTTTCAATTTATGTATAATTAAAGAAAAATAAAGTCCATTTTTATCTGAACTATCTATAGCCTTTATTTCTTCTACTCTCTTTTATAACTTACTACTTAACTAGGAATTTATTTTTAAAGTGCTTGTGAAGTTAAATGTGTATAAGTATATATGTGAAGAATTTCTAAAGAATTTTAGAAAACGTCCTTTAGGGTTTTGCATTCTATGAAATACCTCAAAATAAAAATATCCATTAAAATGCATGCTTTTTGGTTAGATAAGGTTTTTTAATAATCATATGTATGCACTCTTTTTTAAGGGAAGAACCATGTAACGATTGCCACAAGGTGGCGCTAAAATCTAATGGACATTCCAGCCTCTGATTTTTCTCTGGGAGGAGTTGAGGGAAGATTTAGGGATCTGTAGGAGACACTGGGCAAAAATAAAGGCCAGATACATTATGATGAAGATTGGAGACAGATTAACATTCTTCTTTTGTCTGAAGGATAACCTCCGTCTCTCACTGGTGCAGGTATCTGTCATACTGTGAATCTGTGCTGATAAAGTTAATTATTAAAATGATTTGTTCTCATAGACAATCAATTTTATCCTTGCTCTTCAGTGGGAGTGTACCAGGCAGGGCGGGGACGGGCCCATCACCTAGTATGGAAAAGTTTGGCCTGTGAGTGGAGCAATCTTTGAAGTAGCCAGTCTCCTCAGGGCCTGCGTCGGACAGAAGCATCCTGAACAAAAAGAGAGAGAGAGAATACCATGAAAAGAAGTTGCTGCAGAACACAGATTTTTCCGTTTGTTTGCTTTGGCATATTCACTGAATATTTTTAGAAATTATTTTGATACGGAAATTCAAGCTTGGAACACCTCATATGATATGTCTGAGAATCAGAAACCAAGTGACTTAAATCATTCTTCCTGATTCTTTGTAATTCAGGTTTAAAAAAAATACATGGCACAAACTTTTAATTGTTTGATTTCTTAAAATATTTGAAGCTTAAGAACATGGCCAAGATTTCCAACCTAAGTTAGGACCAAGGAAAGCAGTGTTAATAATACACCTATAAAAGGTTTTGACTAAAAAAAGAAAAATTCAGATAAGAGTTTTCTAATAGGTCAAAAACCAAAAAAAAAAGAAAGAAGAAAGAAAGAAAAAGAAAAGAAAGGAGGAGGAGGAGGGGGGAGAAAAGAAAACATTTCCAGAATGGAGCCCTAATGAAACCAAGGGTCTTTATGACTTTGATTACATTTAGCTTTAAATCCTGGCGCTAGAAATCATAGTGCGGTCTCTCTATCTGTGCCCTTCAGAGACCTAGGCCTTTCCCGGGATAATCAGCAACCCACAAGGCAGCAGAAGACAGTAGCTGAACCTAATGGTCACAGTTCTGGGCTTCTGGCAGGCTAAAGATAACATCTTGACCTAAGTTATGTTTCAGCTCCAGAGCCCTAAGGGAAAGGCTCCGTGGTTCATTTTTCCATGAAACCAGACAGAGGGACAGATGATTTAATGGATTTCCGAACTGTCCTGAAGACCTGAAGAAATGATTTATTATCCCTACCTCACCTCTAACCAATCAGCTCCCAGCATGACCTCGAACCCCCTAACCCACAGTGTCTTATGATCTTGTCCTACATAATCAATCTGTAACCTACATGCCATCGGGGATCAGGCCTTTTTTTTTTTTTTTAAGCATTACCTTCCCATTCTCCTGGGTGGTGCCATTCATAATAAAATAGCCAATCTTTCTTCACCACAGTGTTTGGCTTTGCTAGTGCCAGGTGGACAAACTGTTTGTTTGATAATACTAAACCAATGATCAAAATAACTTACTTTCTCCCATGGGATCCCACTGTGGAAAAATTATTTACTTGTTGACAGTTCAGTCCCTTAGATCTGAAAAACAAAAGCAAAACAAGACAAAAAAAGCTGGGCATTGTGTGAGGCTAATCCACTGTGAAGGAAGCAGTTTGGTGCTTTGAATGTGCTGTTCTCTATAGGATGGGCCCTGGGGGTGAGAGGCATAATGTCTCGTTTGACCTGATTTTCTATCTGTGGTGTCCATGCAGAGACCTAGATCTGTATGAATCCAGAAGAAAACATCAGGGCTCAGCTGCAGCTGGTTGCATGGGTTTGCTTGGATGGCTGCTAAAGCAGAGTCTGGAGTTTGAGGTAGGAGACCCCCAGAAAGTTCCAACTGAGTTTCTGAACATGTAGGTAAATTATCCAGCCATTTACAGATTCTTACAGTGTCAGGCATTGTGCTAGATCTTCAAGATGGTGAGATAAGAAAGAATCCTGGCTTTCCAACATCTTCAGTGTTAGAGAGGCAGGCAGAAATATGAAGCAACATCTTGATGTGGTGGGTCTCTCCTTTGCTGAAAAACGGATATGCATTGCCCTGCCTCTAAACCGATGTAGACCAACTTGCTCAGCTGATGCTCCAGACCTCCACCATGGGCCCCGAGCTGTGTTTCAACTCTCTCCATCAAGGGCAGCCACACAAAGCTAGTCCCTGTTCCTAGAGTTTGTTTGACCCTTCACACCTCTGCTTTTGTTCATGCTGTTCCTCCTTCCTGGAAGGCCAGCGCTGCTGCCCCTCCCCACTTCCTACCTGTTCTGTCCTTTGAAATCCCTCAGTTTAGTTCTTCCGGATGCGATGTGGGTGTCATCTCCTGCAGGATCTGTGGGATGGATGAACTGTGGGTGTGAGACAGGAGACTAGGGACCCTGCACCCAAGGTGCCACCAGGGCTAATTTGTTATGTCCCCACCCTCTAGTTTCTTCCCCAGCCTCTTGTTGCCTAATGGGGGGGGGGGGGATGCGGTGGAGGGGTTAAATTTTATTGAACGGTCTTCTTCAGACGACCAGGTTCCGAAGTAATCATGCAAACCAGGGTCCATGTTGTCTTGTCTTCTTTTGTCTCTGCTTGGTAACTTCCTCCAAGTGGACATAAAGTTCTGCAACCAGCTTCACCCTTCTCTTTTCACTGTTCCTTTTTTCCCTAATTTTCATCTAGAGACCCAGGCTGGGGAGGGGAAGGCGGTAGGTGGTCGGACTTGGAGGAGCCGTGAGGCTTTGCCCTGGTCCAGCCAGCTCACAGTGACTCGGGTATCGGGGGGTCCAAACCTGGGCTGCCCCAGGGAATAACGGGGTGAGGGGGATAGGGTGACCGACTAGATCACGGAGGAGCCGCTTTTAAAATGAAAAAACAAAAACAAAACCCCCCAAACTTTGCTAGGAAACAAATGTGTGTGTGCGTTTATTTAAAAACAAAACCTCGTTAAAGAAGCCTCCCAGTCCCCCCAGAGGTCTGACCACCCGCGGGGAGTTTGCAAGGAAGAGGGGCATTTTGAGTGGGAGGAAGTCGTCTACACCCTACAAAGTGCCACCTTTTTGAGCACCGCTCTCCCAAGCCCCGCGGAATCCAGGCAGCCAGTTCCAGGGCTCCGGCACAGCGCATAAAAGCCGCGGTTAAGAAGGGAACCCTGACGCCCCCAAAGCCCCGCAGCGCCAACCCGAGCGCAGACTCCTTAGCCACCGCCTCTCCCAGCCCGGCGGCCTGGGCCGTCAATCAAGTTCGTTCGGCCCCGCCTCTGGGCTGCAGCGAACGGCCAATCAGAGCCGAGATCCGCAGGGATGAGCTCAGTCGGCTCGCTTCCCATTGGGCGGCTATATTAAGAAAGTGGCCGAACTCTTTAAATAGCGGGCGCTAGGGCCGCAGCCTCCGTCTGCCACCGCAGTCTGGCCTGAGTCCTGAGCTTTCCATCCCTCCTGGTAAGGCCTAGAGAGGCCCGGTAGGAAGCTAGGCCTGGTCCGCTGCTTGAACTACGGTTTGCGCATAAAGGCGCCGATCCCAGGTCCGGGGCGAGAAGAGCGGCCGCCGCCCGGGAGCAGAGCAGAGAAGCACTGTGCGCCCTATGCCCCCGCGCCCCCACCGCCCCCGCCGCGGCAGCCGGAGTGCACGGAGAGGACGCGCCACCGCCGGGTCTGGGTGCAGCTAGCGACTCTTGCCTCCAGCGCGCAGCCCGAGGTGAGCAGTGAGCGGCGAGCGGGACGGCAGCGAGGCGTTCGCGGGCCCCCTCCTGCTGCCCGGGCCCGGCGCTCTCATGGCGGCCATCCGCAAGAAGCTGGTGGTGGTGGGCGATGGCGCGTGCGGCAAGACGTGCCTGCTGATCGTGTTCAGTAAAGACGAGTTCCCCGAGGTGTACGTGCCCACTGTCTTCGAGAACTATGTGGCCGATATCGAGGTGGACGGCAAGCAGGTAGAGCTGGCGCTGTGGGATACGGCGGGTCAGGAGGACTACGACCGCCTGCGGCCGCTCTCCTACCCGGACACCGACGTGATTCTCATGTGCTTCTCGGTGGACAGTCCTGATTCGCTGGAGAACATCCCCGAGAAGTGGGTGCCCGAGGTGAAGCACTTCTGCCCCAACGTGCCCATCATCCTGGTGGCCAACAAGAAAGACCTGCGCAGTGACGAGCACGTCCGCACAGAGCTGGCCCGCATGAAGCAGGAACCCGTGCGCACTGATGACGGCCGCGCCATGGCCATGCGTATCCAAGCCTACGACTACCTCGAGTGCTCGGCCAAAACCAAGGAGGGCGTGCGCGAGGTCTTCGAGACAGCCACGCGCGCCGCGCTGCAGAAGCGCTACGGCTCCCAGAACGGCTGCATCAACTGCTGCAAGGTGCTATGAGGACCGCGCCCACCCTCCTGCCCTGCCGGCGTGGCCCCGCCTCCCGGGCCGGTCTTCCCAAGGACCGCACGGGACTGCCTGAAGTCTGCCTTCCTGCCCGGCAGCCGTGGCCTGGCGGCTGTTGTTCTGGCACCGGGAATCGGCGTGGGAGGCACCGGGCGCCCCCTTTCCAGTGTCTGTGTGCGTCCGGCTGTGTTGCACAGGCCCAGGCGCCCCACTGAGTGCCAAGGGTCCCCTGAGCACCCTTTTCTGAAGAGCCAAGCCTCTTCAGAGTGTGTGGCTGTGTGTAGGTTCTGGCTACCCCCTCCCACCTCGTCTTATCCCCCCCACCGCCCACCCCCCCGCCTCTGGTCCCCGGAGAGGAGTTTGGCGCGGGGTGCTGCCGCGCCCCATGAGATGTTCGCTCATAACCAGCGAGCTCCTGCTATCTCTTGTCTGTAACATAGACCACGGGAACTGCGGGAGGGGGTGGGGCTGGGGAGGGTGGGGTGTTATATAAATATAGATTTAATTTTATTTTCGGAGGTAGGATGGTGTTATTTAATGGTGGTGGTGGGTGGAGTGACAGGGCATAGAACAGCCCTAGCCCAGCCTGGGTCAGGCGCCCATCCAAGCATGAACAGGACTTGGTCGTCTTTCCAACCCCTGGGGAAGGCAGTCGCCACTGACTTGGGGCTGAGAGGACACAGCTTCTGAATTCACAGCTTCTGAATTCACGTCTCCTGCACGCCAGCCTCCAGCAAACCCCTCACCAGCTGTGGGAAGGAAGAGGGAGAGTGTGCTGCGGATCATTTTTGCCATAAGCGAACTTTGTGCCTGTCCTACAAGTGAAAATTGTTCAGTCCAAGAAACTGATGTTATTTGATTTATTTAAAGGCTAAAACTTGTTGGGTTTTTTTTTTTTTTGAAAGAATTCTTTGCACAATTGTTTCATTGTTTGACACTTAATGCACTTGTCATTTGCATAAGACAGTAGCATTCTGACCACACTTGTACGCTGTAACCTCATCTACTTCTGATGTTTTAAAGGAAAATGATGATGACTTTTAAAATACGAGAGGAGAAAAAACCACTAATTTTTTTTAAAGTGGCAACACTGTTTTGCGATTTTATTTGTGCAGGTATGCGCACTATTTTAATAAAGGGCAGTAACAAGTTTTGGGGCCTCTTTAAACCTCCCTCCCCCCTTTTTTTTTCACAAGGCAGTCTTTAAAGCTATGTGAAATTTTCTCTGCATCTCCGTACAGAGAACGAACTTGCCCCTAGACTCCTTCCTCTCCCTCCCTTCCCCACCCAGTGGTACTTCTACTAAATTGTTGTCTTGGTTGTTTTTTATTTTTTAAATAAACTGACAAATGACAAAGTGGTGAGCTTATGATGTTTACATAAAAGTTCTATAAGCTGTGTATACAGTTTTTTATGTAAAATATTAAAAAATTATGATGATGACATTTATAAAATGACTCCTGTGGTTTAATAGTGTGTAAAAATACCCTAGTGAATTGGGGGCAGGAGAAGAATTCTGCAAGGCGAGGTCTTCCCACTGACTTCATTTCCCTGATAGTATGTGCAGTGAGTGAGGAGGAAATTACTTCGGGGGTGTGCTGGGGTTGGGTGGCCACGGGAGACCAGGTTGCTCTGGTCCCAGTCCCAGAGGGAGGCCGAGTGGGTTACCCAGGCACCCAGTGTCAGAACTTCTGACCTCTTGTGTACTGTCTATACATCTTAAAAACAACGGGTCTCGTGAGAGGCCTTGCTCCCTATTCCTTGAAACTTGGAGTTGTCATTTGCGCATTTCCAATGTAGATGACGTTTTCCCACTAATCACTGGTGGGGGGCCAGGCTGTCTGTCTAGAAGGTCGGTTACTGGGTTTCCTTCAGCTGCTCAAGGGGTCACCATGGAACTGTAGGTTGTTACCGTGGGGCTGGAGTTCCTGGGTTCCGCCCAAATCGGGAGCTGACTTCTGTCACTGACCTTTCATCTGAAGGTGTGTCTACAAAGAACCTAGAGTACTTTAGCTGAAGCGCCGAGAATGGCCATGTGATGGGCAGCACACTGCAGGTCTTGGGCGGCTGTTACTTCAAGCTGGAGCAGCCACATTTTGAGAGTTAACCCCCGTGAGCTCTAATCTCAGACACTCAGCGGGCTGCAGGGGCCTCAGCACCAGACGAGGCAGGTTTATACTTGGAGACCACGTGAAAATCCTGTGCAGGCGTGATGGCTCAGACCTGCCAGCTCTCAGCAGCTTCTGGAAAAGGCAGTGTGACAGTGCCAACCTCTCCCAGCTCCCTGAGAAGTGTGGTTTTTGTTTTAGGAATCAGCACTTTCCGGGTTTCCAGCGCGTAGCGGCTCCCTCTCCTCCCCTCTCCCCACACCCTGGGCAGAGACAGACATGATCCTTTTTGAAGTTTGTGTTATAACTTGAGGCTTCTGTTTCCCTGTCTCTCCGTAGACATCCAGAACTTCTGTTGAGCCAGGCAAACCTGATTGCTGGTGACCTTTCACCCACTTAAAACACAGAGGGGGTGGGGGTGGGGTGGGGTGGGGTGGGGGAGTGGGACAAGGCCTCCTCTGCTGCCTGGCCCACGTTGGCCAAAAGAGGGGGAAACTGGGCTTCTCCAGGAACAGAGCAGGGAGGCCCCCTCCCTCACCTTCCACCTCTCAGCTTCTGTCTCTTTCTTCATTTTAAAGACAGAACTTCCCATGGAAAAACAAAATGTTGACTTGCAGATTTTACAGCTAGCAAATCCTTCCGTACCAGGGAGTGCAGGGCCCTGGAGAAGAGCTCAGACTTGGGCTCAATGCCCAGGACTTGGCTTTGCAGCCAGCCAAGACCCAGCAGATCCAGCCCCCTGAAAGGGCCTTTTCTGGTTTTTCTGCCTGCTCCAAGGTGCCTGGTACCTATAGCTAGCTGTCTTTTTGGGGGCGGTGGGGGCGGGGTGGTGGTGGTAGACGACCACTCAGAGGACGCCTGGCAGCCTGAGTTGTGCTTGTTTTAAAATGCATGGCATTTGATAATCCTGCCGGAACACACTCTTCTTGCTGCATTAGGATCCAACTGGAAAATATAAAGACGAATTGCTGTAGGCTGGAAAATCAATTAGGAAAAAGAGGTAAAAACATCTGGTGTTACTTTTCGGGTACGAAAATTCATTTTGCACATTTAAAATAAATGTGCTGATTTCATTTAATTGCCTGTTGAACTGTTTCATGGAGAATAGCAGGGAGTTTCATTGATCCTGGGCATTTTATAGCAAAGGGCATTGGCTTGGGTTCTCATTTAATCTTAATTTTAAATCAACCTGGCTTGTATTTCCAAGATCTTTTTTTTCACATGTGGTTCAGTGTACTTAAAATGGTGGCTTTCAAACTTAGCCCTGCATCAGAGTCACATGGGGGACTTGAGACGCAGATGGCCGGGCCTAGCCCCCACAGCTTCTCATCGGTAGGTAGGTCTGGGACAGGGTCTGAAAATCTGAGTTTTCAACAAGGTCCTAAGGGGTGCCGATGCGGCCGGTCCTGGAACCACACTTCGAGCAACACTGGCTTAGTGTATGGCAAGGTCCTTGTCAATGCACAGAGGCAGGAGGCCATGTGGTCCATAGTAGCTCAAGGTCCTCACATCTGGGGAGGTGGGGGGGCGCACCCCGCAGTCCTGACTTCCTTAACCCCGGGGAGTCAGACAGCTTCCCCACAAGGACCAACCCCACAGAACCCGTATCTTCTCCCGAATTCTTGGGCAGGGGGTCTCATGTCTTCTAGAGATTTAGTTCTGCTACTCCCCGGTGCAGA